TATTTCAAGCATGATAGACCTATGGTATGTTTTTAACGTCATACAATTGAAAGAAATATGAATATTTAATGTGGAATCTAGTGTGATTTTCGTTCTGACAAGAAAATTGTGCCTTCAGTAACCGAAAACGAGATCAGTGACGTATACAGAGTCAGAAATAAAACGTTCGTAAAATATTTATAATCGAAATTTGAGTCCACTCTTACTAAGAACTGTCATATAATTTCATGACTTACACTTTGCTGCCGGCATTACAGAAAGCTGCCAGCATGACAAGGAGCGTGAGTAGATTAGCGATCTGAAAGTGGAAACAGGATCAGCATTAGTTTAACATACTTCATAAAAATAAATTATAATCACTTTACACAAAACATGCTGAACGTAGTATGTTTTATGTTGGTTCTACATATCTCATGTAACTAAGTAACTTCAGAACGAACAGAGTATGAAATTGACTTTTTTTTTACAGAACGAAAAATAATTATACAATTAATTTCGGAGACTGTTAAATTATCTTTAAATTAGGGGATTGAATATCTCAAATTTGCAATATGGGCATGACTGTAATTATTTTCATCAGTGAAAAACCCTCGAAATAGCGCTAAAAATCGGTATAGTAGCTCCGTGTTCATCTGCGTTATATCTTCCGGGCATCTTTGTTTTTAATTGCTTGGAATTATGTTGATTTCTTATCCATCTGTATAACTCAGCACACACATATATATAAAGTGAAATTTCAGGTTCTCGTTGTAGCGATTATGGAGATGACTATTTTATGGGGCGTTCTGCCGTGTGGTCTCGTAGAATCTGACCGGTGCGTTTCAGAGGCGCTTGCTTTCTCCATCCTCCCTGATGATGGAGGCAGTAAGCACCCCTCAAACGCCAGTTATTTGTACCAGGCTTCACGGCGCAGCATCCCAAAAGTCAAGTAATCTTCATTATAAATAAATTCTTTCTTAAAATTATTCCTTCGTGAATGCCACCATTAACATAAGTTGTGTTTGCTCCTAGATATTTAAATTTTGAAATTCTTTAAAATTATGTTTAAAAACAGAATCGATTTTTCTGATAATCTTACCATTCTATTGAGCTTCATGTCCTTAGTTTTCGGTGGATCACTACCTGATGGTCTGTGGCGCCGTGTGAGTGGAGCTTATCGAAGATTTTGGCTTTTATGTTGGCCGGTCGCCCCACTCTGCTAGCTTTTTACTCCCGTGTATCTCGTTATTCCCATCGTCTGCGATAATAATACACACTTACGTCTTTTTTTTCTTGTATGCAAATAGTAACAAGCGAAAGTCAGTGTGAGAAGTGAACATTATCATTCTACTGCACTGTCATTTTTCGTTTCACTCTGTTGACACAGTTCAATTGTTCATCAGATTGCATGTTCAATAAAGTTGTAATGACATTGGAATATATTTTATAAATGAGACTTTAGTTTCTCGCGGTGTGTAGTCTGGTAGAAGTTAATTTAGTTGCATGTGTTGGCAAGAAACAGTCATTGCCAAGACGGCATTGGCATTGACCCTCTGTTGTCGTAAAGGCGAAATGATGACTGACGCAGCAATGCAGTTGTTCTCAGTCGTTGTGATACCGCGTTTATCTCCCCAAATATATCTCGTACCTTTTATTAAATGGAATATAAACTAATAAACAAATATTCATAGAAGGTATAGTTTTCATCATTCTTTTACTGCCGTGCGGAAGTATAGAATTAGAACAGACTCAATTCGCGGGCCCCTTAGGCACTAATTGCAGACTCCGTTTAAGAAACACTACAGTAGAGGAGTCATCTATCTTATCTACATAATGTCTGAGAGTAAAGGGCGAGAAATGTGGAAGGAAGCGTCACTCATTTTCACCACATTACCTGCTCATTGTTTGTTATAAGTCGATGGTCTTCCTTCAGCTCTTCCTTCGAAATACTGTCATACTGCCAGAAGGCTACACGGCACAACAAAACTGAGATCTGCTATCTACATTCACAGCGTCATGAAAAACTCATGTTCTCACCTTATTTGTTTCTGTTTGAAACATCTGTAGACCTGTGAAATTAATTAAACTTAAAATGACCGACCCATAGTCATCACGGAATTTCTATACAGATATTATGCATGTATTGTCCAATAAATGCCTACTAATCCAAATTTCTATAGCCATGAAAACTTCAAATTTCACGCCTGTTTTTGAGCTTCTTATTTTATGTTCACATCTAGGCCCTGAAACAAGATATACTGACTGGTTTTTCGTAGGTTCCCTCAGTCCTTACAATCAAATGACGGGATTGTATCATAAATTAGGCTTGGACCATTTTCTTACGTTTCTTTTTTATATACACTCTGTACACAAAAGAATGGTGCGGTTTCAAACGTTAATAAAGAATTTATTTCTCACCTTACACGGGCACAACATACACCGTCAGGGGCGGCAAATGTCCACGTTTCTCATGCGTTAATTACAATCCTTCAATGTGTGCACCCTGGGTCATACGAGACACATCCACACGGTAATCAAACTCATCCCAGACCCGGTGAAGCATGCATGCGTTATCCGATTACGAAATTCATGGATGGACGTGGGCAATGGTGGTACATAAACGCTGTTTTTAACGAACCTCCAAAGAAAGAAATCGCACGGTGTAAGATCTGGCGAACGGGGTGGCCAAGGGAAAAGGTTGTCTCCATTTGCAGCAGCATGTCCGATCCAGCGCTGTGGAAAAACACGATTGAGAAGCACTCGTACATTCCAGTTGTAGAATGTAATCGTCATAATTGGTATAATTTTTTTATTAGCTTTTCAAACCGCACCATTCTTTTGTGTATACCCTGTATATTGTTCATTAAATAATTATTCAGCACTGTATAATCGAAGCTATTAATAGAGTCGTTTAATAAACCACAAATAAATAGAATTATATTAAATTATTTTAATTTTCATTCTTCTTCGCTTCATGGTCGTCAAAAGTACTCAGTGCTTTCCAGCTGCTACCATAGCATGCAAATTCGATTCATAACCCATTAAATTTAAATATGCTTTTAACTAGCTAATAAGAATGTCCTTACTTAACAGTAGCAGCGGAGGAGAACACATTTAATTCATGAAATTAGGAAAGTGCAATTTAATAAAATAACGAATACATAAATTTGCGAAGTTACCTGTAATTTGTTCAATATTCGGATTGAAGTTTAGGAGGGTTTAAGGAAGATAATTCTGTTTCTTCTATAAATCAAATCCCAATCTTAGTAAAGTACATTAGCTCCCGCCTCTCTCAAGAACTATAAATAGAATGTCGAAGGTAATTTCAAATTTGTGACGTTAGATAGAACATCGTATATATACGCATATAAAACTCCATGAAGTTTTAATGTAAGGCAAAGTCGAAACACATAGTAGGAACTTCCGAATGATATCCATAGGAATGCTAAGCACTCGACCGCGGCGTAGGTCCTTGTGAAAAGTTACTGATCATCTTAAGTATTTTAATTATCGGATGGTCTGAGGTCGTTGATGCCAATATTATTGTTATTGCTTCGATTTCCAGCCGGTATCGCATATTCTGAGGCTTTCGCGGCCGGAGTCTACCTCATCAAGAGATAGAATTAATAAAATCTTCTCGAGCAATCAGCCGCGTCAAATGGTTACTGTAGTAAACCGACGTGTCGTATACACAGGCGACTTCCGAGGTATCCAGTAAAAAGTAAAGTGAAGCTGCCCCACTATACGCCATGTAGGCGCTTAGGGGGAGCGGAGGTATAGCTCCTCTCTTTCTTGACCTCAACACTAGACGGGAGTCAGTGGTCAGCATCACGCCCCGGCCGGCTTTACCCCCGGGAAAGGACCCCGGTACCCATTGTAAAGGAGGCTGGGTGGGCCCCAGAGTCGGTCAGGATGCAGAGGCTAGAGGAAAAATCCCCGGCCCCCGTCGGGGATCGAACCCCGGTCGCCCAGTCCGTAGCCAGTCACTATACTGACTCAGCTATCCTGGCTCATTCCGAGATATCCAGTCACATAATGATGGGGACAGAGTTGGTTCCCGAAACGTCGGTTTACTACGGTAACCAGTTGACGCGGCTGATTGCCCGAGAAGATTTTATTGATTGTACTCGCCGCGAACGTCTCAAATCCTATAAGAGATAGAATTGTAACTTCCGCTGAAAAAAAATACTTTGAATTCAAAGGTAAGTCTTATTTTCGCATCTCCCTTAGAAGCAAGGCTGCTTATAAAGTGCGCCGAACAATATCAGCACTATAATATATAACATTCTGCCATCTAGCGACATTACTGAGAACTCATTTAATATTGGGATTGGGGGGGGGGGGGGGCATGTTAAATAGCTTCCTTCCATATCCTTTTCAATTCATTATTCACTGCTAATCCTATAATCCGATGCGGTATAGTCTGAGCTGCTGACAGTGGCGTTATAGACCATAAATAAGTAAATGGATAAATATGACGTGTTAGGAAAATATTGTGTGGATGGGAGGTGCATGAACTTAAGAGACCACGTATCGTAATGTCGCCGATACCACGAAGAAAGGATGTAGGTCCTAAAAGCTGAGTAAACGGAAAGCAATTTTAGGAAAGTTGTCACAATTAAGGTTTATTGATTTTGTAAAAAAACTGGAAGTCTTTGAACATCCGCCCTGATTTGGCATTGCCTAAAGCCAGTAAAAGTCAAGTTTTTAATAATTTCGCGTCACGATGTCGTGACGCTTTCAAATATCAATATCTTTTTCATTTATGTGTAAGGAGGAGGGTAAGCAGGTACATTTTATTGTTATTTTTGTGTTTTATTGCGCGTGTTTCTATACGTAATTGCTAGTTTCCAAATAAGACGAATATCTTACTCTGTCCGACTTGTCAGATATGAATGCTCAAAGCCTAAAAGCTTTCCTAGCTGTTCACTTACCCTCTGATCGATCAGTGTTGGTGGCATGATTTCTTCCGAAACTCTTTTCTATCTTCTGAGAGTCAACATTGAATTAAAATGTCTACCTTCGGTCCATAGTGAGAAACTACAAATAATATTCTTTATTTGAAATATAATCTATTACATGTATAACAAAATAGAAATCTTACATTAATCAACAAAGACTAGATTGAACACTAATATTTTAATATTTCAGTGTGCAGCTCTTCGAATATTTTTCGTTACACTTGATGTTAGTTCTGCCTAACGAATACAATTCAATAAGTACTCCTCACTTTTCCATTTGAGGACAGAAATGCATCCAGTTTTCGCAGCATATTCTGTTCCGAATTTTAAACGATGGACAAAATCCAGAAATGCAGTAATGCTATTTGCAACATGTGAGTATCAGCTTCTCAAGAAAGATCTTGTTCCATTCATTTACAACCTTAAACTCCTGCCTTATCATTAATGTCCTCCAGACCTTCAAAAAACCCAATATCGTGGTCCTTGTTCTGTCCTGTTCCGTCGTTGTACCATTTATTTTGTCCGGTGTTGTGTGTGACGCTGCTGTGGTGTTTTTGAGATGAAGACTGTGGGACAACCCCCGCATTGAAAGCATCTTCTCCTGAGAAAGAATTATATTGTCCCGCTTTGGTACCACTTTGAGTGGGATTCCTTCTAAACGAAAAAGAACGGAAAGCTTTATAATACAAATCGTCAGAATTGGGATTGGGATGAAAGTTATCTGCGCCATTTTGACTCTGTTCTGTACCTGTGTGAGGTCTGTTAGTGTTGGAGTTCCCGTTGGAAGTGGAGAAACTGGGTTCAGTGTCCCGTCCGCCACTGCCAGAGTTTTGATTCTTGTATCGCTCGGCAGAATTTTGGGTATTGTACCATAGATTCTGCACGCCCCCGAAATTCTGATCTTTTAATCGCGATTTCTGGTCACTGTTTTGTGTGTGTGTATTAAATTGTAATTCGTGTGTGCCCCCAAAATTCTGACTGTTGTGTCTTGAATCATGCGTAACAGCGGAAGTTGGTCCACTCCCAAACTTATGGCTGTTTAATTGCGTATTTTGCAGAAAAGGGTAATTCTGAACACTGAGTCGCGATTCTTGTCCGTGTCCAGAGTTATAATTTTTTAATCGAAACTCCTGATCAGCCCCGAAGTTCTGATTTTTAAACCGAAAATCTTGTCTTTTCGCGCTGTTCTCATTATTGAACCGAAACTCCTGCCCATCTTGGAAGTTCTGATTGTTAAATCGAAATTCCTTGTTGCCCACGGGGTTTTGGTTATTTAATCGAAACTCCTGCCCATCTTCGAAGTTCTGGTTCTTTAATGGAAACCTCTGGTTTTCCCCAGGGTTCTGGTTGCTGATCATCCGAAATTCTTGCCCGGCAGCGGAGCGAAATTTGTGGCTTCCAGATGAAGTGTGGGTGTTGGTAAATTCGGGCAGTGTAGAGTAACCCTGATTATGGCTCCAACCTGACGGGTTGTCTGAAAGAAAAGCGTTCTTGTTGACGTCATCATGCTGACTGCCTTGGTGCCATGTGCTGCTTTTGCTGACTTCGTGTCTGTCATAGTTCCCGTTTCTTTGCGCGTAGTAATCAATTGCACGAATTTCGTTCTCGAAAGGTCTCGACTCTTTGCTCGAATCTTCGCCATCGTGATAATTAGAATCTGCATGGTGTCCACCGTCCTCCTGGCTGTCTTGAATGGGAAAGTACGTGTGTTGTCGATATGTTGCATGCGGTCTGCGCTGAGGTGCCCAGTTTCTGTAGTGTTTGGCGTAGTTATACATCCCGTAGCTCTTGCCGCCGGTGAACGGTGTCCTGCGCCCTACCTTCCTGAGGTAGCGCTTCCTGTAGCGCCCTCGTCGACCCCGACCCTTCTTACTGCGGTGGAGTTTCCTGGGCTTGTGGCTGTAGTCGTGTCCGTACTTGTAGTTCTTCGCGTAGCGCTCTGATGTGTGGTACCTGTGAATGACCTTTACCCGCTGCGGCGTGTGGATCACTAGCCGGGAGCTGCAACAATGTTTAGCGCCTCAACCGTCAGAAAACATTATTACACATTCAGTTAAAAGTTCCACAGGAAGGTTTTGTTAATGCATATGCAGCTGAGGAAATATAAATTTTGTTATTATTATTTTCTGAGCTTCGGGTATGCGTGTCATCAAAAGCTAATGCCTTACTGAAAAGCTAATAGTTACTCACTTCTTTAAGAAACACTCCAAATTTTATTAAACCTATAGTCTACTATCATATTCACAAGAGCTCACCGTCGAACCTGGTCTCAGACATGGAAAAACTATGGGGATAATATTAAAATGTTGGAATTATTTGGCTTAGGATACTGACAGATGCTGTGTTTTTATTAAAAGTAATTAATTTTCGGGTTCCATAAAAGGTGAAGAATGTCTTCACTGGCTTTTTAACTTCAGGTAAAATTCTCACGTTACATGAACAAAAAATACCATCATTACATAAAAATGCGTGAAGTACCTGGACAAAAGAATAAAACAGAAAATCATGTCATGCGCTAACCGAAATAGCAAACTTAATTTCAAGAGTAATACAGAAGAGAGTCGGTGGATTTTCGTGGGCATTTACACGGCTGTTAAAAAATGCAAGTACTTAGATTGTAACATCAAATGAACGATTATTCCGCATTTTACTTCTGTCTAGAGTTCTGTAGCTGCACAGTGCACTGAGAGATAAATTTCAGTTATTTTTCAGGCTTTTTCTGATGATTAATCTGTTAACATCCTCGACAAATATGTTAACACGTAGATAACAGGTCACTCGGATGCTGAAGCTCTAATAATTAAGATCTCATGTCTTCCATAACTTTTCGTACTGCAAGTGGGTCCCAATATTCGAAGATGTTTTGACTAGAAATATAAATCCTTACTGTGTGGAACTTTCTACGCTTTACTGGCCCCCTTTTATTCGGACAGGCTTCAATACCATGGCCTCCTTTTCCTGCTTCCTAAACCTACATTTAAATACTTCATTTTCACTCAGTATGGAATCTGACCTCTGCCATACTTCATGTTCTCTCAGGGCTTAAAAGGAACCGTAAGCTGTGTTGAAGACATCCACGAAAACTGTCATCAATTTAGTAATTTTCTCTTTATTTTTCTTTGTTTCTTAAGTTGGGAATTCCTAAGAGACAAAAAAAACAGGACAAAGTCATTTATAACTTATAATCTGTACTCCTCACCAAATTGTAGAATTAATGTGGAAAAGTTGAGGATGATGGGATGGGTGCGACATGTAGTACGCGTGGTTTAGAAGATACATTTATTTTTATAGTTATATAACCCTGTGGGGGAAACAATTAGAGAGAAGTAAGTGTAGATGGGAGGATAATATTAAAATGGAACTTAAATATGGTTTGAGTGTTTGTAGGGCATGTGAGGTATCATGATAATATAAAACAGAATTTTCAGAAATTGAGCGTTAAGATGTGGAACAGATTAGTCTGGATCAAGTTTTTATTCAGTGGCGGGTACTCGTAAACATAATAATTAACCTGATAGTTCCATAAAATGCAGGTAATATCTTTGCCAAGTCGGTTACGAGGCTACGAACATCTTCTAGGAGTTGACTCTGGAAAGATCATATATACTTACTGTCCTGCTTCAACCTCCTCAGCCGGCTCCAGGAGCGTGAAGGCAATCAGTGTTACCTGAAACAGGCAGGGCAAAGGTTCAGGCACAAACATCGTCTCTCTTTAACTGGCTTGTCGTTGCTGGATGATGTTTACTGTACAGTGTAAACAGTGATTTGCCTCAGAGTTGTAGAAGCACCTGCGTTTTCTACGCAGATCTTTCAGGGCCCCGATGTCTTGGAAAATATTCAAAAAAACATGTCAAGGACTATTAGATTTGATGTCATGCACACACGATAAAGGAAACAAGAATATGAGATTTTCGCATTCATTACATATTCCCGAGATACTTACAAATATTGGCAGAACTTTACATTTCAAGTTACGGATGTTTGTTAAAGCAGAAGGCTGCTATGTGTACAGAAAAATGACCGTTCCATCAACACGAGCCTAGTAAGCCAGCCTCACACGATGTAAAATTTAATGTCTTTTATATCTTTGTAAAAGGTTACATTTGAAATCTTCAGCTATAGGCCTATGGTGGGAAGCAGCCTAAGAGTGTAGGCCTGTGTGAAAGAGATTATGGATTGAGGGTTGCCCTTGACGAATCTTCGATCTGAAAGGTTACAATATTACATCTTATAAATTTAGGTTGTGATGTTTGACCTTTGACCGAGGGCAGCCAGTTCCTCCGAAACATACTATAGAACCAAAAGACTACATGGCACAGCAACCCAACATCAAATATAAATTTATGTCGCCAGGAAAACCTTGAATCACACATGTGATAACGTATTCGCATCATACTAATTACTGCTAAAAGTACTTAATGCTGTTGTTAGTGCTATATGGAAAACCAATCATTTCCCCCTTAATCGGTGAAAATTGACTATACATATACGTTTGTCTTCGATAAAATGAAACAGCTACATTTGCTTCCAGCCAAGTTTTGGGTCAGATGAAGCGGTGAACGGTTTGAATCTCGACCTTTGACACATTGTATGCAGATAATTCTCTGTTTTCATCAGTTTCTCCAGAGAAACGCCCAGATACTACCTTTAAATAGGCCACGACTTATTCCTCTCCGCATTCATTATCTCTTACATCATTCGATGCTAAATAACCGTAGCATTTGTTAGAGTGTCGTTAAAAACTTCCTCTCTTTCCATTAACACAATAATATTGCATGAAGGCTAAAAATTATAAAATATGTAGCTTCATCAAAGCCTTAAATCGTCTCTCTTAAGTAGAAATGTCTTCCTCGACGTGACGTGAAAGTCTCAAACTAAGTTCTTTCCTCGAAGTGAGCAACCACATTTCACAGCCAATGTTTCTAGACGTGACACGGGAAACTAAGTTCTGATCTAAAACTTTTTGGGGCACCATTTCGCTTCTAATTTCATAGTTTGTAAAATTACGACTTGATACTTGAACTTTGAACAGAAAAATATAATTATGAGTCTACGTTTTATTATTACAGCAGATATTCAAATAATAATTTAATTTCTTCAGAAGAGTTTCCTTATTGTTGATTTTATTCAAAATCGGTTTGTATTGCTTTTGAAAAATAATGTAGGAACCCTTAAGGCTTTAAAGTAGGCCTCGGCTTTGATAGTGTCACTCACCACAGCCGCCGAGATCCACATTGTTGCTGCGTCACACGTTCCAGGGAAGCACTTCCGCCCATCTCAGTCTCTTTTGCACCAAGAAGTCCTCTCTCCGCCCGGACTCTCTTTATAGCCTCGCCGTCGCCAATAGGCGGGTGGAGGGGGTGTATGATGCAGGTCACTGCGTCGTCCTCCCTTCTTTGCAGTCATCTTCGAATCTCTTTTTTGGGCTACTCTTCGTACCTTGACACACATTCCTAATCTAATTTGGAACTGGTTTTCTATATTTAGTACTTTAAAGTCGAACCAGCGCACGTTTCCCATTTCAGTTTTTTCTCTAAAATATATTTTAAATATAAATGAAGAGCTCCACAATTTCCACTGTGAAAAAACAGTCATTAAAATGTTTAAATCAAGGAGGATATAATGGGTTGGATATGCAGCACGAACTGGCAATATGAGAAATTCATACAAAATTTTAGTCTGAAAACACGAACAGCTTGGGAAACTTTGTCGTATATAGTAATATAATATTAAAATGGATTTTAAAGAGGGTATAGGCCAGTTTTTACTGACCAAAATATGATCCAGTGGCGAACTGCTGTGAACAGGATAAATAGCCTTTGGGTTCCATAAGAGAGCGTGGAATTTATTGAACAACTAGGTACTTATTGGCTTCTAAGAATAACTCTGTTCCATCGAATTAGTAGGTTACTTAGCTAATTAACTAGTCAGTTAACATACGATAAATGTAAAAAGATTAAACCTACTGACTTCATATTAAAAAAGTACCTTTCTTTGACCCCGAAATCCAAAATCTGACTGGAAACCGCTTAGTAATGCAACATGTGTTGTGCGCGTGTGTTGTTAAAGACTAATTCTTTGAAAGCTCGAGATTACAATCCTTTATTCTCTGTCATGATATCATGCCCTACTTACTTGCTATTGCTAACATCAAGCTGATTTGTAGAGCTGTTCGTACCCCCGGGCTGTACGAAAGAAGAAAGCATGACCTGGCGTCTCTGGACGCCATTACTGGCTGTAAATTTAATGGAAGTTAAAGCTTACATTAAATTGCCAAAGGCATTGTCAAGGAAAGTCTAAGTCTGTCCATATAATATAATTCACATTTTGTTAATTCGCAAACGTGATCCTGCTCTTGAACAAGAGGTCTCAGCTGACTTGAATTTTCAGGAAGTCAATGGAAATTGCGTTACATGTACTTCCTTTTCAGTTCGTGCTTAGTGTTGACTATGCATTGATCATCTTTAATGTTGTCCCAGTATGAATTGAAAGACTGAATATGAATTGGTCTCGAAAGAATTAGCCATTGTTTACTTCATCTGCATCGCATGAAGGGAGGCCTCGTACAGTCAAGAGTGGCGTACAGTGGCAATTATACTATTAGGAGTAGACAGACAGCACTGATGATATAATTCCACTCCACGTCTTTACTGCTACGAGACCAATTTGTCAGAATGTTCTATAGGCATGAACGATTCGTTATGCTTACAGTGTGGACAGAATAAACTGAGTTTTATTTTAAAAGGCGGTAATCGCAATGAATTAGGGACGACGAGACTGGCTCTCTGACACCTGCTACCTTGCCTGAAATTTAAAAATATCCTACTGAATTTGACAATAGCATTTTCTCTTAAATGATGGTAGTGTGTGGTTTAGAAATTCTGCTGATTCATTCTGTCTCAACAAATTATTCTTTCATTATAATAAGAACTTGGAGTTTTACTGTGTTCGAATAATTTTGACTTTACTGTAGCATAAATGTTCTAACACAAGATTTTAGATGTTGTGTATTTATAATATTCTGGGTTATTCTGCCATGTGTTCTTCTGTGTGTATATCAGAAGTTTGGATGAACGCTGTGCACCAATTTTCAGGGTTTAAATTAGGGTTAGAAGTCATTGGTCATTATGTTCCTTCCACCCAGCAGACTAAACAGAAAATAAACTAGGCAGACTGAAGGAAGGACCTTATACTAAGGACTTCAATTATAAATAAGCCACATTACACACCATTAATAATTACATAGATGTTGTGGTATACGGTTTGTTGTGTATAATTGCAGAGTTCGCAGTAAATAATCGTCGCCTACCAGTAAATAACGAATAATATATTTATCTATTTCTGTATTTTATCATTTTTACATAAAATATATATTTACATATAAATTTATTAACATATTCTTATTTTGTACAGAAAAACAATCTGGAGTAATGACATGATTTCAAGCATTACTTTGGTGTTTCACTAGAGAGGCTGCGCTATGTATGTTAGCCGTACTTAACACATTGTGGTTCATGTCGCTTCCTTTCACATCCTTTACGATTCATTATTTACAGAACATCCTGCCATTCGACGTTAAATAACCAAGACAACTTAAATACGATAGTTAAGAACTAATATTGAGTAACATTTAATGATTTGGTGGTGACGTAAATTTTATGCAAATAAATAATATTTTCATTAACATTTGCTCGCAACAGCACCGGTTTGTACAGTTTATAGCCTAAACAACTTCCACATTTTAGGGAAATTGTTTAATAAGTGCTTCTTATAAATCTACAAAATTTGTTACATTAACAATATCTCATTTATTTCAGGACAGGGGCACAAATGAAGGCTTTGATCTTCTAAAAGTTACTAACTTAAATTTCCGAAAGGTCACTGTAACGTTGAAATAATTTTGTCGCTTTTCCTTTGTATGTTAATGGCATTTAATTATCAGACAGTTCTGAAGAAAAATATATTTTCTATGTAACGGTCCTTTCTTTTATTCTATGGTAAAGGCTGCAACCCAAACTTGGTCAGAATATTAAAATATGTTAACCACCTTGTCTTAATTTTGATACATACATTGTTCACGGAGTCATCTTTGTTATGGCATTCATATAATATCAACATTTTTAATATCTTCTTTGTCTCCATGATAAGATTACCACTTTTTTGCTGCTATATAGCAGGCGCATTGTGTTGAAATCATGCCAGTTGTCCCCTTGCGCTAGTGATTCGACTGTATCCTTCAGATGTCGCCTCATCCATGCTGTTCGCGGTAAGATGTGTACAATTGCTGATACTCGTTTACGTGACGCTGTTCTTGTGACGCTTTGAACTCTTCGGGAGATAACTGAATCGACTTCAGACTGAAACAAGCAAAATATGTTAAGATCCAGTTTTAATGACTGGTTAGCTAATAGATTTATCAATTGCCGGACAGTGCCGCAAAAGAATTCTTGGAAGCCTGTGAAATTCCACCAGCAGTTTTTATTCCGCGTGTGATACCTTAAAAGTGCAGAGTTTCGTAATCAGAGTTCTTGTCATAAGGTTGTCATTCCATACGGCGTCAGTCTACTGCATAAAAATTTATGTTGAAACGAACACAGACCCACATCACGAGACAAGATGACTGATAAGTAAAAATGTACAGAATCGTTTTCGTCTCGTTACAACTCTCAGTATTTGATTTCAGAACATTAAATTTGCCCACCATTTTTGGTCTAAGTAACTGGCGTCTTGGGGCACATTCTTTTCTTACGAAGCTATAGTAATTCTTCTGGTCGAGATATTCCCCGCCTTTCACGGAACCCGAAGATTCCCATGGTCGTCACAAAAGTCCACCACTAGACCCTATCCCTTTCGTAGTTTCGTAGAACTGAAGGAGAATGGGCTGGTATAGGCTTACCCGGTGTCCTACGTGAGCGATTAAATGCGAGCGGTGCGAGTTGCGTGGGTGAAGCGGAAATATCAAACTGGCTGTTTGTGCGGTGCTGTCCTAGGTTACAGCGAAGCGATCAGGAGAGTAAAGCGGCCGGATTCCGAGATCAAATATTTTGATATTTTCGCGCAGGTCGCTACGCTGACCAGTAAGGCGCATGCGCAAGAAAGATCTGCCTGTGCAGTACACGGAAGGGGCATGCGCAGGAAGGCCGTGTGTTTCTCTCACGAAGGACACTACAAGCGATTCCCTTATGTTATATAACACCCCATGCTGCTTAAGCAGCTCGCACAGCTCGCTTCTTATCGCTTACCTAGGATATTGCCTTAGAGCCCGAAGCGTTAATTAATACCTTATGTGGGTTTCAACCGCATATTATATTATGCTTTTACCAAAATTAAAAATCGACGTAATTGGGAGAAGCTAAAGAAGTTATTAAATTGGTGAGGTGGACTGTTTGATAACAGAGCATTATGCTTTCTGTTGTGCGTGCCAAGCAGCATGCCGAAATTGTTCCTGCTTCGCGTTGCCTGTGCGGTGTCGCCACGTGCCGCGCTTATCCCTTCAGGTCAAACTTCCTTGTCTTCGCGATCGCTACAGGAGAGTGAATTACGAATACAGTGCCATCTGTGGAAAGAACGTTTTACTACATTATACTTCCCATTTTATTGACACGTTGAACCTCATATGATAAATTCGACGTTATTAAATTGTAACAATCTGAAAGATGCATTTGTGGACATATGAAAGTTACTTTCACTCAGAAAATTTATGACAACTGTAGTGATTTTAAAAGCGAGAGAGCTCACTCCAAATCAATATTATTTTGAATTAGATTTGCTGTCAGTAATTCCATATCCTTCACATTATGTGCAGTGGCAGGCTATTGTAAACACGGCAATGAACTTTCATTTCCGCTAAACGACTGTTAGCTTCTCACAAACGATTTTTCTCCATGGAGATAGTTCTGTCTTCTTATACCTTCAAGGAAATCAATAAAATGTCAAAATAGTCAGTGACCTTCCCAAGCCAACTCAGATAGAATATAATCTATTAATTTAACTAGCTCTTGGCATTATTTGTTCTGTCATTCAGTTCAGATAAAATTTCTTTCGACGCCTGTAAGTATACTATACAGCTTACAACTGTGTCGAATAAGTTGCCTACAGTTTAATTTTCTTTTCTGCTGTACTTTACATCGTTCGATTAACAAACAGAACACAATGAGACAGAGGATATTTCCTTTCGTGAGGTTTCGATGATTTGTTAATTCTTCGACAAAGCTGCATTGGAAAGACTTTTCCTTTGAGTATTTGAGAATACTCCTACCAGTAAACTTTGTACCAGTTGTATGATTTGAGGTTTTTACAGCGGTGAGTATGAAGATTTCTGTCTTCTGGGTAGTTGCGCCGTGTAGTATGGTAAATGTTTAAGAACATTTCAGAGGTCATACTGCTGCCTCTGTCATCAGGGCTGACCGCCGTGTAAACATCAAATCCTAAAACGACGGTCGTGCTAAAATTTTAATTTGCCTTTTACTTTGACAATGGACTATTGAAACTAAAAATACGGTATAAAGATGGTTACAGACAGACACTCCGGTACCTGGAAAAATTTATAAATATTGTGTATTTGTCAGCAACTACAAACTTGACAACAGTTTCAACCTCTGAAGTCACATCTGACAAATTTAACATAGTCAGAATCTATAGGTTACTTAAACAGTAATAATATCCTTACGTGACGTAGTAACAAACTCTAAGAATCAAAATGTAAAAATTTTCTTTAGGACTTTGCCATCTTCTTAAATTATGAAAAAAATAGAACAACTTTTCGAAAGCTGGATTATGCTTCCGTCTTCAGGTAAGAATTAGGCGGAGGAAGAAAATAAAGCCTATCTGTTGGCCCTCCCTCCCAGATTAAGCCAGCCTCAGATCTGGACCAGGTCCAGATCTGTTGGCTACAATGCATTGTTGGGTTATAACACATAACAGATGTCTGTCACTGTATTCTGCTATTAGCTAGATGAGTCTAGTCCGCTCCCACAGAGACACACATATTTGTTTAGATTAATTTTAATGTCATCCTCCCATCTACGCTTAGGTCTCCTAAGTGATCTCTTTATTTCATGTTTCCCTACCAGAATCTGTATGCACTTCTCAACTCCCCGCACATTATAGCCCTCTCCACCTTAATAATAATAATATTAAATCAACAGTAAAAGTTAAGAAGCTCCTTATTGTGTAATTATCGCCGTCCTTCTGTTTCTATCCCTGTCACGTCAAAATCAACACTTCACAGTCTTACAACACAACTCAGAAGCATCAACTTTACTGTTATGTTCGTTCGGAGCTTTATTATGCAAACAGCATTTTTATGGGCTGACATTCTGCCGGGAACATTACGCTTTACGTCAGGAGAATGTTCAAGTACCTGGCTAAATGTCTGACTTCACTTTCTCCTGCATTACCGCAGACGGGTTCAAGACTCGTCCAAGTCGTTTTGTTAGGCTACCTCAGAAGGTACCAACCGGATTTCCAACTTTCTCTTTCAGCTGGTTTCAGACGTGCCTCGAGGGGCCTACATATCCGTTTCATTATCGTTCACATCTGTAACAGTTGTTTTCCCTGTCAGGTGCTAGGGTACAAAGACCATTGGCCTGAGTTCAAAATCCGGAACGGAGGCTGGTGTGTAAGTTAAGAGGTAAAGTTGTTCCTGATACTTAACTAAACAACATGCCATGTAGTCGTATGGGGGAGTGGAGGTATAGTTTCACATATTTTTAACCTCGACACTAGAAGGATGATGGTAGGACGCGAATTTCAGTATCCCGCTTACCTAAACGCCATTCTGTAACTGACTAACCAGCTGACTGAATGGGGAAGTTGAAGTTCTTCGGCTTTTAAGGAACCAGAATACCAGAACTCATTATCAATTTCACGAGTGCAAGCCACTGAGCCCTATCCAAAGCCAATTTGGTCTATACACTTAAACCTTCATCCTGCCACGATAATATTTAGCGACGATTAGATTTATGGTTTATTATATTTGTATATTTAGTATTTCTCAAAGTAATTCGGATGATGACTGTTTTACGAAAAGCCTAGAATGACTTAGTCATCCATGTATTCTCTTGGAGAATTTGTACTGCATCGTGTGCCGGCTTCATGTTGACTACATGTGCGTATGCTAATTTTGTTTAAATGTATTTTCCTTGTTAGCGAATGGGGCGCAGTAGAACCTAATTCCAAACACTAGTTCTGAAATTCCAATCACAGAACTTTTCTCTCAGTTTAATATTTGAATTAAGAATGCCAACGGTCTCTCACCAGCACCAAGATGATAACAAATGTATACTTTCTATTTCTTCTGCCTTGTGCCTGAGGCCATCGGCTTATGACTTAAATCATGTAACAGTAGTAATGATAAATCAGCAAAGTTAACTAAAAACTTCCTTTTACTTTCCCTCTTTCAGGCTGAACATAAGAACATGAGTGAGGCATTTTTACTCTCTCCTGTCTGAATCAGGTTCATTAATTTTTACAATAATGTTGGTTATAATGATCTGAAGACATCTGTTATTTATTTTATGCCTTCAAAAACAAGTGTATATAAAATAACGTTTAACTCTGAGATTGTGGTTGTCCACACGTTAATACTAGAGAGTCATATAACATCGCAATGAAGACACACGCAGTCTGAAATTTAATTCACTTTTGCACTAAGTAGGATTTGAGGTTTTCGCAGTGGTGAGTCTGAAGATGGCTGTCTTCTGGGTTGTTGCGCCGTGTAGTGCGCTAGACGTTTACTGACATTTCATCGCCCTGATGATGGATGCAGCAAGGACCTCTGAAACGTCGGCAAACGTCTACCTGACTACACGGCGCAATAACCTAGAATAAAGTCATATCTAATTTTACTCTATTCTTCTAATCGATTCTGGTTTAAAATGAAGTAGTAGGAGTATTTTATCTTGTAATTAAAACAATGATTGGGCGGCTTTCTTAATATAAGTCCGTATCTATGTATGTATATGAAAATCTGATATAAAGCTGAGAAACTTCTTCAATCTTTGTTTATGAAAAATTGCGTACAAAATGTAAGTGTCGTTCTGCACTTTAGTACGGAGGTACAGTGCAGCAATTCTGAAGATAGGTTTAAGCATTATGAACAGAGACAAAGAATATTATTTAAATCCTGTTCGGTGAATAAGTGTAGCAAAAATAAAAGCACGTGTGACGATTTAAATATAAGGGTGAACAGAAGGCTTATATAATACAATTAGACCTGTCTACATTTTGAATGTAAATGAACAAGCAGTCTCGATTAGCTGCTCATGTCGGAATCTGTACTACGAGTAAATTTTGAAAATCTGACAAAGTTGTATGTATTTAACGTAAGCCAATTTAATATTTAAATAATTCGCCTCAATCCTATGCTGAAGGTCACTGACAACTGCCATTTTATTTGCGAAACAAAACAAGAGTACAGGCAGAATAATATAGCTTCGCCATTATGCATTCACTTTATGTACTTCGTACAAAGAACGGTTAGAAAGTGTTGTAGGAAGCCAAGGACTTAAATCTCCAGTAAAACTGTTGGTTATTAGACAGGACAGAACCTGTTTCCAGTTAGACAACCTTTGCTTTCTATTCGAGTTTTTTTGTTAAGGAAGATATTATCAATTATGCTTGCATGAACCTCGTGAAATCCTTCTTTTAACTGTTAATGTTACTTCGGTCCATAAAGTCGTAATGGTTAAGAGTCCACCAACACGAAAAATTGTGCATTAAAAAACTTCAAACAATGTTTTACATTGACTAAGTTCAAGGAGCAGCGGCGTTCTTGGGAACCTGATAGTCGCTAAGCCAGTAAAGAAGTTCTCTGCAATTTGCGGAACCTGGAGGTTCATTGCCGTATTTACATGAACCTGCCACGGGACCCTGATCTGAGCCAAATTGATCCAGTCCACACTCTGGTTCCCGAAGATACCTTCCAATATTATCTTCCCATCTACGCCCAGTTCTTTTCCCTTCAACCAAAATGTAGTACCCATTTCTCATATTCCCCATGCGCGCTACGTGCCCCTGCCTTCTCGTCCTTCCTGTCTTCATCATCCTAATATTTGTTGAAGAATACAAGATACATGAAGATTTCTGTCTTCTGGGTTGTTGCGCTGTGGAGTCTGGTCGATGTTTACCAACGTTTCAGAGGTCATACTACCTCCATCATCAGGGCGATGAAAGACAGAAATCTTCATACTCACCGCTGTGGAAACCTCAAATCTTACATACTAGATACATTTTGTTATTTTGGATCGCGAGACACTGGTATCATGGCACGTGTGAGAGTCCTACTGATGTTGAGGTACTTACATCCTGGTCACAAACATTGGCAACATGATTCTTTCAGCATATCGAGCGAGGAGACAAATGCAGAACGCGAAGGCGAGCTGCAAGAGAACAAACGTTTTAATATTTTAATTCATGCAAAATATTGTTTCTGGCCGTAAACAGATATTTTTTTCATTTTTTCTTGTAGAATATAAATGGAATCATGGACATTTTCATGTAGACAGAACTTTTTAAAACAGGGGTACCGTTATTCCGAACACTCAAAGATTTTCCGGCACAAGAATGAACATTATATAGTTAAAAAAGCTTACTTGCTAGTCTCAAAATTTACAATGAATTTGTTAAAAACAAACATCAAATAAATTAAATGTTGTAGCTATAATATAATAAACAATCCGTTCAAAGTTATATAAATATGTGTATATATACATATATATATAAATTACGGTCCAAGTCACTAAACACCATTTTTCTTTTAAATAGGACTGTCTTTTTTCCGTCAGCATTCGAAAATCCATCGTAGTTAATCTTCACTTCCCTTGAAATCAAATAACACTTAATGCTCTAAATCAACGATGTTAGTCCTCGTAGCTTGTTTCTGCATCCGAAATTAAGCCCTAAGAATGATACACGTATAACAAAGACATAAATACTTACCGCGCAGTCAATTTTCATGTTAGCGAGTAAAAGAAAAGATCTTGCAGGTTGCAAGAATTTGTATCAGAAGTCTGCAATGCAAGTGGTCAACATCTCGCGTGCACTTGTATTTATAGACGCCACTGACTGGTGATAGCTCTGGTGGGGGACCGCGTGAGGTGTGTTTGTACAAACGATCCCCGGAAGAAATAACTGCGCTTCATCTGGTAACTCTCACTACTGGCTGAAACGGGATTAGAGAGTACGCACAGGGTGGGGATGACAGCATCTGGCAGACGAATTACCGAATAACTCCAAACGAAAGTTTGTCACAAAGAAAGTGAAATTATAAAACCTATAGCTGTAGTTTAAGTAACGAAAAATAAATATTATTTGTTCACGACCTTCCTAATTTACGGTCTGGTAAAACGGCAACGTGTTTTCCGACGAAGGACGCCCGGCACTCCTTCGGCCCCCAGTTTTTAAGGTGCAGTTCAACTAATTAACTCCATGGAGAACACTAACAAACTTTGTAATACTCCATTCAGTTAAAAAAGTTAACATGTTTTGCTCCCGAGCTTAAAAGTATATAAGCTCTTTATCCTACATATGATTTTCAAGTAGTCGGTTATGTTCGTAATAAGCCGCCAAGAGTTGAATTCTTTGTGTTTAATGAAAATAGTAATATTATGTTAATACTTCTAGAGGATATCACATAGCATTCATATCATCAGTTCCAATAAAGTAAAGAATAAAATATTCTTATTTCTGTCACTCATAAACATGACCTCGTTAAAAGGAACAAGATTAATGATTGTCTCATCAAAGTTATGCTGCAGAGGAGATTAGACGAAGAGTAACCTTGAAACAGAGAAAGGAAAATTTTGTTTATAGCAAGAGGACAAACCATGCAAGGCCCAAATGAGATTTTCACTTCTTTCAGTCATATTTTTGATAATGTGTCTTAGATACAGTAGATATATTACGTATATTCTTAGGCAGATGTTACTCAAAATCTGAAGCATACACATATAGTTTTTAATTAGTTTGAAATCGATTGGAAGACAAGAAAAATTTCGTTTAATTTCCTATATGGTATAATTAACTCAACGACTGTGATCGGGATTTTTCAAGGGTGATGCACAAAATCCGAAAGAAAATTACTGTTTACAGTCTTACTGCAGAATTTTCAAATACTAATATTTATGTGTAGGAATATCGAAAACAGAAGCGTTATTTGCAATAAAAACTGGTAGCCTTATTTTCATAGATAATTCCGTTTTGTCATGCGGAAGGCATGGAATGAGTGTTACAAAAATTGGAAAATTGCTTCGGACGTTTTTGAATACCCCATGCGTTCTACATACCCGCCCATGTATGATTTGAATCTTTCACAGCTCCTGAATTCAATTACGTCTTCTCGGACGACCAGCTGTGAGAGAACAGCCATGTAATCCAACGTTTCGGTGTCTGCTGATAAGCAGAGAAGATCTCGCGCGGCTGATCGCCCAAGAAGACTTCATTGTATTTTACATAAACGCTCATCTAATCCTCCTGGATATAATTATCGTTGAGATATTACGTGAAAACTGCAAAATACAGAACTTCTGATTGTTTAATTTTCTTCGTACTTCTGATTCTTCCTCATTCACAAAGTGAAGGATAACTTGAGCCTGTACTTAAGTATCACTTAATCACGGCCTAAGGAAGACTGTAGGTAGATCTCTGCGCATTCTTACACTGGATAAAGATGTATATGAGTGTTTGGCTTCATGTCCTGGCCGTTTTATGTCCGTGGAATAAGTCCCCATTTGATGGAAGACTTAGTGGATCTCGAATTCAGTCTGGGCATTTAGACAAAAATGCTTTACTCAGTATCCTGTTCTTGATTTACCCTCCATTTCCCTTAGTAGATAAAGAACTTATTAGGAACATAGAGACTCAGTGTGTAAACGAAAACAGCTCTAATAGAGTTACGCGTTCGTGCAGCAGATTATATTAAGGGGAAATGAAACACGAAATGCGTCTCGCAGAATTCAGCCATTATCTGTGTTGATTCTAACTTCTAAACAGATTTCTTATCTGATTTTGACACAGTTCTGAGAGTTATAAGTGTGTTTGGTTGACTGACAGACAGATCTGACGCTGATACTAACATACTTTTTCTCTCTTAGGCCTAGTTGATCTAAACATTCCCTGCACCAGATCAACTTTTTGAGTGTTGACCTCGTACAAGTTTTAGCATTGCTTCTAGCAGCCCGTCACCGATTCACTTCTAATATTGATGACCACTGCTGGTGAAAGTCATAACGTAAATCCTATTACTAGATTCGAGTTTTTGTTAAGCGTTTATTTGAACCTCGCTGTGAATAAGATATTATTTCCGTTCTTGCCAAAGAAAAACATGAGCCTGGATAGCTCAGTCAGTATAGTGACTAGCTACCGGCTGGACAACCGGGATTCGATCCCCGACGGGGGCAGAGGATTTTTCCTCTAGCCTCTGTGTCCAGAATGAAGATTTCTGTCTTCTGGGTTGTTGCGCTGTGTAGTCTGGTCGATGTTAACCAACGTTTCAGAGGTCATACTGCCTCCATCATCAGGGTATGAAGTTTTCTGTCTTCTGGGTGTTTGCGCCGTGTAGTATGGTAGACGTTTGCCGACGTTTCGGAGGTCATTCTGCCTCCGTCATCAGGGCGAAGAATGGCCTCCGAAACGTTGGTAAACGTCTACCATACTACACGGCGCAACAACCCAGAAGACAGAAATCTTCATACCCACCGCTGTGAAAACCCCAAATCTTACAAAATGTTGCATTTTGGGGGTGTACCTTTTTCTTATCAGTTATTTTCACTTATGATGTCATAAACAGTCATAAACAAATGAATGCCTTTTGTGCCGCTCTCAAAGCAACCACGCCTACGCCAAGGGTCCAAGATCTGTGTAAATGTTTGCAGTGACAGATATAAGTTCATCAGGGCTACGAGGACGGCGGCTGCATCACCTAGTAACTTGTGAATTAATTAATATGACACCAGACAGTGACAAGCTACGCCATCCCTATACTTCAGGAAAAAGCAGTGTAGTCCTTTCCGGCACATTTCAGATTCTTATCCGTTCGCTCTGTTCGAATTGTACACCTTAACAAAAATAAGTCCTGCCCCATTAGGTTCCAAAGAGGTCGAAATTGTTTATCATCATCGCGGTTAAGATGGGAGCCCTCGTATTTCTTAACTGAGATGTCCCAGCTAAGATTCCTCACCCACAGCCTAACTTTTTTAAAAAAATGTTTTGGTGACTTATCGCAGTACAAACGAAGAATTATGTTGCTTTAAAATGTGCCACAAATGCTTCATTTCGAAATTTACACACTTCGTAATTCACACTAATTGACGCTAAGACAATGATGTATGTCAGGTACCACAAAGTTTCATTTTTTTTCCAATGTTAATAGTCATTTTATTTCTTCTTTGAGCAACGCAATTAAAATGAACAAATAACAGATGTCGTGTGTGCCTGTACTTATTTTCATTCACAAAAGTTGTAAGCGAATGATTATTAAAATTCACAACAGAGGAAATTCGGAAAGCATATCTGTGTGTACTATAATGGAATTTGCTGGCGCGGGTTATTAATAGTTTCTTTGTTACTGGGAAGAACACTTCTTAGTAATTGGCACCTCCTGTGCAGGAAACTTGCCGAGTAGCAAGTGCGTCCTATAATCTACATCCTTTTTGTTTGTAACACACAGTCGATAGGAAACTTGTCTTCAACTTAATCTTTCCAACGTTCTTGTGAAATATAATACCACTTTAAACAAAACGTTGAAATCTGGTTCAGCCTGCGTAAAATTATTTGACAAAATACGTGTTAAAAAATGCTGGTTTTTTGGTACATGTTATTTCTATGTTAAATTAATACAACCAAGAAAGAGCTTTTTAGTTCGAAATTTGTTGACTGCTTTGAACCACGACGGAAGTGGAATCATCCAGGTCATCCTTAGGAACTGAGCACAGGCAAGGTACCAGCTGCGTGTTGTGGTAAGTAGCCTGTAGGCTTCCTGACGACCCCGAGGCGGTAGGGGGAGCGGCCTGAAGTGCAACCTGGCAACAGGAAAAAGAAATCAGTCCTGAAGGCTTTTTAAAGCCTTCGTTCAACAACTAGGGAACGGTGGCAGGCTCATGGTAACATCTTCCACACAAACGTGGGAAATTCTGGATACATATATTTATTTTTCCAGTCTATACACAAAACTTGTTTTAAAATAATGTTGTTTAAATTTTTTTATAACATTTACAATATAGATTGCATTATGTTATATTTTATGGCGCTTTTCTGTGTCGTATAATATTACATCTATCACAGCGCTTTTGATTTTGACGACATGTTTCGATGTTTACCACATCATCTTCAGGCTTATCATTAAACAACATTATTTTAAAACAAGTTTTGTGTATAGACTGGAAAAATAAATATATGCATTGATATAACACAAACATGACGCAATTAAGATAGAAATTCTGGATGTCTGAGCGACTGTCAGTTTCTCAAGGACTCTTTTCTATGAAGTTAATTCATTAATAATGTAATCCAGTTTATGTGCCTTGAAGCTGTGACGATTAAAGTGCCTGAACTGTCCTTTTTCTGCAACTTTAAGACTGCCAAAAATTAAAATGAAATTATACTATGTGTTATGTAAGACAATGTTATTACATTTGTTTTATGACAGATTCAGTTTTAATGTGAGATATAAATGTGCAATTCAGTTATTAATCGTGCGAGAGAGGCATCAGAATATTGTTCTTATGCCTGTATTCTAACTAACTCCCTGGTTGAATGGCTGAGGTGAAGCAGGTTAACTCGGCATTATTTGAGCGGTAACTGATCCAATTTTGGCTGGGTAGATGGTTATATTTGCTGAGATTGTCTGTGCTGTGCTCTATTAAGAGCTGATAGTCGCACAGCTGTTTAACAAATGTTCTGTTTTCTATGGAATCCGAAGTTTTACAACTGTGCTAACAAAAACGAGCCAGGTGAATTCAGTCCATACATTCCCACTATTTCCCTAAGATCAATTTTAATATTATCCACACGTATACTCTTAGGTCTTCTGCGTGGTCTTCTGCCTTTGGGCTCTCCCGACCAGAAATATGAACGCATTTCTGATTTCTCAATGCGTGTTACATACCCCAACAATTTCGTTCTCCTTGGCTTGATCATCGTAATATACTTGGAGAACAGTACAAGTTGTTGATCACGTGGTTAGAACAGTTGATCCTTGAAAGTAACTCGTATCATTCCCAAAAGCTGATGTTTTACATTGAACACCATCCGCGAAAACCGAGGGGTGGGAATAAAAAGACGAAGGCATTCGATTATTCACTCAAAACAGCATCTTCTCAACCTTTGAATCACGTGCAGTTGATACATCGTCGTTTAATAGCTGCTTAATACCTGAGCAGGTGCTGGGACCGCCACTGGATACGGCACGGCAACTGGCACGGCCGTGCCTCCGTGGTAGTGCTGGCCGTAGTAGACGCTGTCCCGAACTGCGGGCCACTGCACCGCTGCCACCTCCCTAGAACACGGGTCACTTTACAGAAGAATTAGTATTCTGTCCCAAACCGTTCGTTCCCAGTTAGTCTACTTAAATAACAACGGTGACAAAACTGTTAACACCAATGCCTTGTCCTGAGACTTGAGGGTGTTCATAACACTGCCATCAACCATCATGTCGGATGATAGCCAATGCCAATGGACCGAGTTAGTTTTAGGAAAGTTTATTACTTAAAATTATGTTTTGAACATAAATCACCAGATATAAGACCGGAAATGTTACGATTCAAATAAATCAGTTAATTAATATCTTTTGGAATATAACAACTTTTATATATTTAAATTTCACGTCTTCTATAATTAATACTTATGCTTCAAAACTAACCATTCTGATGGAAGAGCCACAAGTTTGGTTCCTATCGTTTGAATTAATACTCACAAATGTTTAGTAAATTTGTTCCCACTCCCTTGTTACTTTTTACCAGAACGTGTGAAGCTCCATTGAGTTGAACTTCACGAGAGTCACGAGTTTGGGATTCCGATGTTTCATCGCCACACAA